ACACCAGAAGGATTTGGCAGATTCAAGAATGATTTGAACGATGGGATACAGAGAATGTTCTTTAAAACTGCAGCTAACCCTGAGGTGGAAAGGCTGCAAGCACTGCAGAAGGCAGAGTTACTTAGAACTCTGAACATTCCTGTTGAATTAGAAGACACAGCTCCTACTGAAGTTAGTGAAAATCATGTCTTTCAAATTAAAGGTACTGGCATGGACATCCAATATAGACTTATTAGGCTAATTTCAGAAATAGTTTTTAAAGGATTTTATATAAATGTAACATTTTTCATTTTCCAAACTTGAGAATTTAAAATTATAAAATGCCATATCAAAGCTTTATATCCCACTGATGTATTATGACAGGCTCGTTAATTACTTGCATATTATTTGTGCATGAAGAACCACTAGTTTCTTTAGTGAACTTGACAGATGAATAAAAAAAACAAAGTATTTTTTTTGCATCTCTGTTACCTACATGTGGTCTTACAAGCTATCATGCCACAGAGCTCAAATCCCACTAAGCCAATAAAATAACTCATTTCTTTATTCATTTTTCTGTGACAGTAATTACTACAATACCAACAGGCTAGATTCAGTGAGATACTGGAAACATTAATAATTTTGACAACTTCAGACACATTGAAGTGTCCAACACCACCAGTCACTAACTCCTATATTATATGCTATGAAGTCCAGGGAAAATAATCCAGTTTTACTGCGAAGTAGCCTCTGCAACCCTTAAATGGGATACTTAGATCCTCTAAAGTACACATGGAATTAACCATTGCAGAAAATGGGACTAGAAAAGTTGGATCGATGAGCAGCACCTAAAGCTGCCATAAAATGAGTGACATCCTCCTCAATTCAAACTTTATTCTGAGAAATAAAGGAAAATGACCTGAAAACCAGAAATTGGACAAAACAATAACATTTAGTTTAGAGCTGCACCAAGGGGCAGCTGCTACTAAAAGCACAAGAAACAGTACCATTTACTTTGCTGCAGGATGCACCCATCACAGAACTGTACCATGGCAGTATTTTGTACATAAACAGAGAGAAAGGCTGCAAAGATCAGACATGATTCCTCTGGGCAGAAAAAAGGCTGGCACAGGAGAGGTGGGCTTGTGGGACTGGGAAATAAGGACTGCTACTCCTGCCAGAAACTTTCATTTCAAATGCAGTGAGCTACCAGGACCCAGATGGAAAGCACTGTCCAGAGGTCTCTTGAATTGCATTTCAGAACACCTTAGGAGTTTCTTACCTGTGAGAGTGTGTCCCCAGGATCTGTGCTGTTGAACTGCCCACTTAATGTTCCCTAACCATGTTCAGCCTCTAGGACTGGCAGCTACCATCCCATAACATGAAAGAAGAGAGAAGGGGCATGCTCCTCCTTGGAGTGGCTGGATCAGTCAGGAATTTTCTGTAGCCCACATTTCCAGCAACAGTCCCAGAATTATTACATCCCTATCCAGATCTGGGCAATGATCCTCTGTGATACAAAGACCAGTAATGGCTGTGCCAGTAGTAGCTTAAAAGATCACTACAACAGCTCATTCTTCCTCTAGTGCCTTCTCCTATTTCTTCCCTCGCTTCCTTTCTTTGCTTTGTTGTACACAACAGGGAACGTGCATTTTCCCCAGATTTGCTTTATTTGTCATGATTTTTTACAAAACTGTAAGGAATAGCTTTCTTTTAAAAAAAAAAGAACTACTGTTTTTATTAATTATTTGTAGAGTTCAGGAAAAAGGGGGCAAACCAGTTGCTGTTTTTGCTGTAGTAGGAACAGAATAAAGCACTAACACCTAGCTAGACTATAAAGAATACTCACATAATAACATAAGACAGGCATTTCCTTCGCCCTTCAATAGAATTCCTGAAGACGGACACTAATGAAGACAAAAGTGTTGCAGTTCTTGAGGAACCTCAGAGAAAATAAGGCTGAAGAAGGCCCTCAAGATTATCTAGTACCTACTCTGGCATGTCTGGCTTGAGTATAGTTCACATGCAATAACTAAACTGTCTCCAGATTATGCAACAATCGCCTATAAAAACACTGCTTTCATCAGAAAACTGTTAGTATGATATTAAGTGTGGCATCCAGTCTGAATAATACAAGTAAAATGTAGACATGCAATATGTTAATATTATTCCCAATCTCCATGTAAGTCACCAAGGGATTGTGTAACGGTGATAAAAGTTACCCAGTGATCTTAATAACAGGTTATAGGAATGAAATCAGCAAGAGCACTGTTAGTAGGTTGCGGAGTAAATTCTCTATCACAGAAAACAGTTACCGTTGGGTAACTGTACTACTAATAACCTACTACTTTTTTACTTGTTAGGTAACTCTGAATCCAGAGAGAATAATGGATCATGTCTGAGGCTCTTGCCATCACCCTCACTTACCTGAGACTGCAATTCCAAAATATTTGGAAGACACCAACAGGCTCAGACTGCAGGAAGTGTGCCAAGTCCACTTGCTGGTAGAGAAACTGATAACGGGATTGACGGATTAACACACTTCTGGACTCTACAAATGGAACTTGATATTGACAGCCACAGTCCCAAAATAGTTCAGAATAAGGAGCAGGGCAGAGATTGTTCCTGAGCTGTGCCGCAGCAAAGAAAGTGGCCAGATGACCAGTCAAGCAGGAAGACATTGCTCCCCATAATTAACTGGCTTCTTTTAAACCATCAGTATTTGGTATTTTTCTTGTCTTTATTTCTCTGCATGTGCCACAACCGTACTCATTCTCACTCTTCACCTCCTCTGCCCATTTTATACCTTCCTGCACAAAACAGGACAAGAGATATGCTTAGGTCAGCTACTTACTGCTCTCTACTGCGCTGCCAACAGTATTCATGCTGCCTGTGATTGTACAGCAGGATTACTCACTTGATAACAGGCCTGATCAGAGATCAGGTACAAGTCAGGTGCAAGTGTCACTGGGGATATGGCAGTGAACTTCTCCAAGGAGTTCAGACAAAAAAGTGTCTCTAAATTCTAACATAATACCCTTCATGGAGTCCTTTTTTAGGGACTTTGCACACACGGCAGCTCTGCTCTGAGACTTTACTGGAAACAGCACTGGCCCTTCCAGGTCCTGAATTTGGTATGTACTGATCTGTTGCTTGATGTCAGGCAACTATCAGGCATTTTCACCAAAAAAAAAAAATACAAACAAAAAACACAGACAAGAAAAAACCCAAACAAAAACCACAAAACACCAACAACAAAAGCTTAAGGAGAAACAAACAAATCAACCAACCAACAAAAAGTCATTACTTGACTAAAGCAGTAAGATCTGAGCAGTTACACAAGTTAATCACAGAAGACTGAGGTGGAGGAAAACATCAAATCCCCAACTCTACTAAGCCTTGAGCAAGCTATTTACAGTTTGTCAGAAGAGCAGCACTAGAGCACTGAAAGCACTTGTGTTTCCAAATACATCTCACTGGTGCCAAGCTGCTGGAACGGGAAGGGAATGGAAATACTTAAATGTGATCTTAGACTCCCACTTCCTTCACATGGCTAAGCCAGGATGTTTTAGTAGAGTTTTCCTTTGGAAAGCAAACTACAGAAAAGTCTGTATTTTCCTGCCTGCAGTACTCCAACATTTTGAGCATGGAATGAATGAATTCCAGACCTTTCCCTGCATATGGATTTGGGGGGTGGGGGTGGGGGGAGACAGGAGGGGGAGAGGGAGTTTGGGTTTCTTTTAACATGTCTGAAGAGAAGCAGAGGCTGAGAAAGTTGGGGCTGTTCAGCTTGGAGAAGAGAAGGCTGTGTGGAGACCTCATAGCAGCCTTCCAGTGTCTGAAGAGGGCCTTACAAGGATGCTGGGGAAGGACTCTTCATTAGGCACCCTCTTTACTGTGAGGGTGGTGAGGCACTGGAACAAGTTGCCCAGGGAAGTTGTGAATGCTCCATCCCTGGCAGTGTTCAAGTCCAAGTTGCACAGAGCCTTGGGTGACATGGTTTAGTGTGAGGCGTCCCTGCCCATGGCAGGGGGTTGGAACTTGATGACCTTAAGGTCCTTTCCAACCCTAACTATTCTACAATTCTATGATGTAAGATACTGAACCTCCAGTCCTAGGAATTGACAGCTGTCAAGAGTTCACATCTCTGCCAGATTACCTTTCATTTGTCTACACACTGTCCAGTCCCCAACATCAAGTACACCTGCATGAGGAGAGCATCTGTGATATCCTCTTACATATTCCCGGACACTGCAAAGTTCTCTAATATCCTTGGCATGCTGTCTGGTATTGCCCCACACACTCTTTTATATCATTGCCACAGCACTGTAAGGGAGAAAAGGAAGAAGCATTCTACCTACCTTCCAACATGGGCAAGAAGACCCAGCCCCAGTCCACCTAGGAAGAGGTGTATTTTTAGCATCAGAGATGCTTTTCAGAACAACTTAAGTGCTTGGAAGGACAGGAGGAAAAGACTTCCAGCATTCACTCTCACACAGGAGAGAGATGTAACACAAAAATAGTAAGTATGTTGGATTCTTGTGCTTCTCTCTATAAATATTTCCTTCAGTCCTCTGCACATCTGCAGTCCAGAGGCATTTCAAGACTTAAATCCTCAAATTCAGATGGGACCCAACAAACATATTAGAAAGCACCAATACAAAAGGATGCAGCTCACCTTTGGTTTCCTACAAACTGCTCCCAAGCCTATCAGCTACAAACAGAAACATCATATACAGACTCCCTCCTGAGAGGCAAAAATCCTCCTAAACCTAAGCCCTTGAAGAGATTCCTCCTACCTGATCTACACTGCAGAAGTGGCAGACTTAGCTACGTTTTCTTTTTCAGGAGCTTCCAAAGACAGAAATGCAAGGAGATACCTTTACATCTTTTTGCATCTAGACAAGATAGAAAGAGGAAAGCAGAAGGAGGCACATACATTAAAGTAACTGAACTTTGGTTTGGGTATTGAAGTCTAAACACTGGTTCTATTTTATAAAGCACAGACACTCAAGAAAGACTCATTTCTAACAAAAACACATCATTTTAATACTGAACATCTTAAAAAACACTACAATACAAAACTTTGCTTTGAAGAGGGGATTCAGCTTCTAAGCAAAATTACATTAAACGTTCAAGAAATTATGAATGGCAGGCATCCTACAGTTTCCATAGAACATCAGCAACTGTTATTGGAGCTTTTAAGTCTAGAGCCACACAATTAATATGCTCAACTGAGGGGAAAACACACACCAAACACTTCAGTACAAATTCACACCAGAAGACTGCCCTTTAAGGTCTCTCAGTCTGGCTTAGATGAATATCCTACTGAGTTAAGGCTAATACAAAATCCTACATAATAAGAACCAGTGTGTAATTTTCACAGTCTGTGTGCACACATAGAGAAAGAGAGTCACGCATCATCCCACAGACTTTTATCTTTGGACCAAAATCTGACATCACTGCACTGTCACCAACAAGACAACTTGTTAGGAGAAGAAATGCTTCCCATTCTTGTAATCTAAATCTGATTTTAGTAATTACTAACAGTCCTTTTACCAAAATAAAAAAAACACAAAACCAACAACCCACAAACACAATGTCAGTTCAAGAGAAAGACTTTGGCATAGCCCCTAAATTTCTTTATCCCAACTGTTGTCAGATTAAGTCACACTTAGCTTTTTGGCACTCAAAGGCTCTGACACTGCTACTAGCCTGAGTCACTGAGAGAAAAAAAAGGGGTAGAAAGAACTAACACTTCTTAAAACCCTACACTTATTAGCTTTAAAGGGACCCATATCAGAGTCCTGCAGGAACAGAAGCAAAAAATAAACATCACCATCTCCTCTGCAGACAAGATGGTGCACCTGAGCTTTCCAGTGCTCCTCCCCAACAGGTAATTATTTACCAAGTCCTAACATCAGTGAACTAACACACTGTAGTTAACAATTTGTAATAATAATCCAAACAGGATGTAACAGCACACATAAAAAAGAGACTCAAGCAAGTCCACCTTTGAACAAAAGAACAAGTGTTCTATAAACCAACCTGGCTTTTCCTCAAACTTTTAACAAGCAAAGTAGACCTGAATGGTGGTATTGTGTTGAGGTTTTGGGTCTGGGGTTTTTTGGGGGGGTGGGGTGGTGGTTTGTTTGGGGTTGGTTTTATTTTTTTGGTTGGTGGGTTTTTGTTTGGTTTAGGGCTTGGGGGGGGGGGGAAGAGAGGGGTGGGAGTTTGTTAATTTTAAGCAAAAATCCATAAAATACTTTTTGCAGTTTCAGTAGTGATGCTGGCCTAAAACACAGCTATAGTCACCTAATCTAAAGCCTTCCTGAATGAAGGAACCTTTCACAAATGGATGCTGGGAACAGAAGTGCAGTTAAATTGAACTTCTTACACGTTGCTTACTTCTACATGAATCAGACTTACTAGGAGCTGCTTAAAGCACCCCTGATGATTTTATCATCAGCTTCAGCTTGTTAGGAGAGGTTCAATTGCCCAAGTACATACTGAAGGCGTACCAGGTAGAAAAATACGCTTAAGTTTTATGCATCATCTTATATAAGGATGTAGCACTTAACTACACCCCAGTGATAAAAGATCTTGAGCTGTCCTGACAAAACACATTACTGGTCAAAATGTCTGCATGCCACAACAAATGAATGGGCAGTGGATTTGGCCAGCTGTTGTTTGCTGATGGATCCAAGGCATGTATCTTTCCAGGTTTGAGTGTATGGTCAGCATCTTCACAGCTACTACAATTTCAACATTACAACACAAGAGATAATATGTTTGAATGACAAAACAGCACAAAACAATAGCCACATTTGTCTACATTGGATACATTCACAGCACAAAGCTGATCAAGCTGTAGAAGAGGCAGGATTTTGAGAGACTGAGCAGGGAGTGGGAGGCAGACTTCCAGGTGATGACTGGGATAAGAGACTGGCATTTTCAGGGGGAAAACTGCTGGGATTAAGAAGGGGAAATAAAAGAGATGCTGCTGCAGCTGCCTGCCGTTCTAGAAGAAGTCGTAAAGTACAAACAGTTGAATTAATGAGATCATTGCCTGAGAGAAGTATGGTCAGTTGTTTCTGAATTTCTTGCAGGACCTGCAGCTGACTTTGCTGATTTAGAAGAAGCATATCCATATTTTCCCTCATTTTCTGCACTGTACAAACAGAAAAAAGAATGTTAATGCTTGCTATGTAAGAATAATTCACATAACAATTTAGAAGCCTTTTTCTACTTACACTCTTCAAGAACAAGATTCAAGTGAACTGTCTCAGGTTCCCCTGCACCACAACCTTGCTCTTCTTTATGATGAAGAGATGTAAATCCAGAACGGTTTGCATCTAAAAGCAAAACAGTATAAGTCAAGAGCCCACTTTACCACCAATTACTAGGTCAGCATTTCAAATATGCGTGCACACAAGGAAAAGGCAGATCAGTAACAACCCTTCCTCTCCCTCACATTTTAAACTTAAAACTTCAAGTCAGATGCTGGCCCAAATTAAACCAAACCAGAATGCAGACAAGGCAGATATAGCTCCCTGAAACATCCCAGGCTTGTGTTTTATCACAGTCAAGATACTTTCCTGTTGCTTCTCCCCTCCTTTATTTTTCTGGGGAGAAAGCAGGGAAAGGAAGCAAAGCCGGAGCATGAGCTGCAAGGAATAGGACAGCTGAGATTCAGTAAAATACTCAATTTATAAATACATAAACCTCTTTGAAATAGTACCAGATACAGAAATCAAATTTCATTCTGAATCCACACATTACAAGGCTGATCACAAAAGCAATTTTATCATACAGCGTCAAATACAATGATGCAGTAGCTAGTAGGTACTCCAGGATAAGTTCATACACTTTCTTTTGATGCAGGCATACTACTAGGCTGATCTGATATTAATTGTAAAAATGACTTTGTTTTCTTCTTATGAATTATAAACTCCTCAATCTAACAAAAGGAAAAAAACTGAGACAGAAGAAAATTTCCAGAAGAAAAAAAATCATTAGAAGTGAAAGGTCCCATCTTTAAGGCTCAGTAGCAGAGTTACTAGGCCACCTTTTTACATCTATGGACTGAGTGTTCTCAAACTCTACCTTAGGAATTCAGTTTTGCCATTTCAGTAGAAGCTCGTTATTATTTCCATTGTTAAGATGAAATGTTCTCCTGCTCAGAATTTTTTTTCAGTAGGAAAACTCAAATAAAACTAATGAAAACAAACCAAACCAAACCTGAAAAGTCTCACACACGTAACATACAGCCTCACGTCTCAATTGCCATACTGTTACATGATGTGGTCGAGACCCCAACATCCAGAACAATTCTAGGGGTAGCTAGGCAAGACCCAAGATTAAAAATTAAAATGTTTTTGACCAAGTATTAAGGGACTACCCATGTAAAAGTACAACAGAAAACAAGCCACAATATTAGTTTTTATCATGGAGTTTCTGGTCATTACAAAAATGTAGAATAGTGCAAAATCTCAAAATTTCTCTAATCAATCCCCTTGCCTGACAGCTTGTACTATGCCATCAGTATTACAGAGGGTTAGCCAGGAGAGACTTCCCCCTGCAGACAACTAAAAGCTGCTCATTTAATATCCACACATAACAAAATAACTGATAGAAATTATCAAGGCCCTGATTCTTATCCTAAATTCCTTCTGCTTCCCTAAACTTAGTATTTTGTTAGCTGAGCACTTCTGAAGATCTATTTCTAGACAACAGGCAACACTATGAAGCAGGAATTTATGGGATCCAAGAGCTTTAGAGTCTGAAGTCCCAGGCAGCCTTCATGGCAAAGCCTTATTTTCAACTTTGGCATTGCCTTATTTTCAACTTTGGCATTTTTAAGGCACTTCTTCAATGACAGAGATAAACATATAATATAGAAAGGGGAAAAAAGAGGGGAGAGGCAGGAACCCTAACCAAACAGAAAATACTCACAACCACAGCAAGGAGAAAGAAGTGTTTAGGAACAAATGGAGACCAGAGTATCCAATATATCCCCTGTGAATCTGCACAGCTTGAAATAAAACTCAACAGATCTTAATTCAGTTACCTGCTGTCTGTTCACTGGCTCTTTCTCTTAAATGAGTCCCCTGATGTTTGATGAAGTTGGAGTACAGACGGAAGCTATTTCCACCCTCGGTACACCTAAAGAACTTCTTCTCATCCATATGGGCTTTCTGATGGTGGAAGAGAGCTGCACTGCCACTGAAGCTTTTCCTGCATGTGGTGCAGGAAAAGGCTTTCTTTTTTGTGTGGGTTTTACGGTGAGCGGTAAGGTTTGAGGCATGGCCAAAGGTTTTCTCACATTCTTTGCATTTGTAGGGCTTCTCCCCTGTATGGACTCTCTGGTGCGACACTAGGCTGGCCTTCCTGCTGAAGCTCTTCCCACATTCTACACACTTAAACTTCTGCACTCTCGTGTGGGTTCGCATGTGGTTCAGGAGCCTGGAACACCCCTTAAAGCCCTTCCCACATTCTGTACACTTGCAGGGTTTCTCTTCTGTGAGTGCTTTCTGGCTATCAGTAATGAGGGTGGGTTTCCTGAAGCCTCTTTTTTGGTGAAAGGGGCTGTTACAGGCTTCCTCCTGCTGCCTTTGCAGACTGGCTGGCCCCATGTCTGGGCTGTGGGCTTCTGGTAGCTGAGGCAGTACATCTTGCTTAAGCTCTTCAGGGATTCCTTCCTCTTCCTCGTAGTTATTCAAAATGCAGTCCCCTGATAGAGGAAGAGAGCAATATGACACTACTCTTTCCCTAATGCAGGTAAACTGCTCCTTGTAAAATAACTGATTTTTCCAGGCCTAGCAACAACTTGCACCAGAGTCCCCTTCTCCAAAGATGAAGGGAAATTATGAAGATTGAGACAAAAAGACAAGGAAAAGTGGCTCAAGGAAGAAGAGAGGTAAGAAACCTACCTCTTCCCTCCCCTCCCCATTTCCTTGTTCTTCCTCTCCTCAGTCTTCCTTTTGCCCTCAGGGAATGGCAAAGGAAGACTGCCAAAATGAAGGAAGGCAAAGGAACATGCTGAAACACCTTACCTGTCACGAACACCTACTTCTAGCTATTTGTCTGAGACTTTGCTCAGATGCCTCATAGCCTGCTACATTAGGATTAACGCTCTGTTTTAAAGCTGTGCGTTTGGGTGGGGATGGCTCCACACAAAATAAGTCCCCTTAACCTTTGTCAGGCAAAATTAACAGGGAAGTTAGGCCGTTTCTCACTTCTGCTAGTTAATATTTACTAACACCATTTAAACTACTTGTTTTACAGGTTGGCACATCAGCATTTTTTCCCTAAACAAGATCAGTTGAAATTACTGCAGGGAAACTGTCATGCATCAGAAGTCAAAGGAATTATTTCTTGATTAAAAAAAACCCAAACTAATTGCCAGTTAACTATGTCTTTAATATCTAGATCTAGCGTGACGCCTATTTTTCCTGTAGTGACAAGCAAAATAAAAGGCATTTCAAGGAAGTTCACAAGAAACATTCAAACATGGTCCTTTCTTTCAAAAAAAAATGCAACCTAGGTATTTTACAAATGAATTTGTATGACCATGCACCCTACAGTAAGCTTTAGTTATCTTACTCTTCTGACTAAATTTTATATTTAGTTCATCATTAATTGTAAGGATCACCTGACACAGGCTTATCCAAGTTCAATTTCTGCAGGCATCTTAAAATATTTATTATTAACTCAAGTACAGGACTTAGCCATTAGTATCTCTGATCTAGCATTAAAACATTCAGTTACTCACAATACACATACATCCTTTCTACCTTCAAAGTAAAACTCTGCAGTGCAATTTCAGTCCTACCTCTGTGACACCAAGAAACAGAATTCTACAAGTAACATGCCCTTCAAAAGACAAAATGCTATTTACTTGGCCATATGTGCCAAGACATAAACACCAGCGATAAACAAAACCACCCATTTACTGAGGGAGTCTCATCTCTTACATTAAGGGACTATATCCAAGAGACAGCTTTCTCCTGGAGGGATGAAGATGACTCCATCTCACAGAAGCAGTCATTCCCTCATTCTAGAGCTGACTTCACAGAAACTCATGTAGACCCCAAGTCTGTAACATGAAACGGAACTGAACAACCCTCCATTCCCATCTATAGCTAGCATTGAGGAGTCACACTCCTCAGATGCAGTTCTGCACCTCCCTGAGAGCCTCCTCACCAGTGAAAAAGCCTGAATAGAAATGTGCTGGCTTTCCTTCACCCCAAGTTAACTGTATTATCTTACTTTAAAACAGCTGTTTGGCACAAGAAGCAGAAAGAAAAGACAAAGTACCACTGAGCATCTTGCCCCAGCCTAGCATGCCACACCATCCTAGCAACCAAGGACAGCCAGCTAAGAATAAGGAACAAGAGCCTCAAACTTCTGAAATTTAACTAGCAGAGCTACACCTCACCTGTATATCCTGCAATGTCATTCTTCCCAGCCTCCTGGAGGACAGCGAATACCGACTCTATCATTGGCTCCATCTAGGAGAGCAGAAGAGACGACATATAGCATCTAACCTTTCCCGCACAGACAGAAGGAGAGGAGCAGACACAGGTGCAGTGCGTTCTGGCAGTACTCATGGGCTACCTAAAACGGCAAACCTGGACTTCCTATTGAACACAACCTAAACTGAGTGATGAGACTGTTAGAAAACCCTGAATTTCAGCTACTTACCAGCTGGGAAGCTTAATCAAGAGATCAGTGTGATAAAAAGCGGTCTTACCCAACCTCAACCTCCCTTGTAGCACCAACAAGGTCTGTTTGAGGGCCAGGGTCCTATTCTTTCCTTAGCCTCACCACCTCCCCCTTCTCAATCTCTTCCAAGCAGCACCTCCACCCGCCATCAATTCCCCGCTTCCCTCTAGAGCCGCTCTACCCCTCTCCAAAACCTCGGAGCAGCACTTTCGGGCCTGCTCTCGGTTGGCCCCGTCCCTTCCGTGCCGCGGGCTCCCAGGGTGGTTGTTAAGACAGAGGCCGTGGCTTTGCTCCTCCCCGAGTCCGCTGCTGGCTCTCCCCTGCCCGGGGCAGGCAGCAAGTGGCACCGGGGCAGCAGTGCGCCCACCCCGCCCTCCCGCATGGAGCCGGCAGAGCCAGGGCCGCCTCCCTCCCCGGGAGCTTGCCGCCCGGCCACTGCTGCCGATCCCCTGCCCTACTGGCACCCCTCAAAATACGGAGGGGTTTTCGCCTTAATCGTCCCGTGTGGTGAGAGATGGATGACTCTGCGGTTCCATTCCTTTGCACTCTGGCCGTGTTCACTCGTTGGGTTCACCCAGCCCTCACCAAGGCGTTGCTGTGAGTGGGGCTGTTTTGCTCATCGCCTGTGTGGCACAGAGTGTAAATAGGGCATCGTGCCGGCTCTGAGAATGGGCAGTGTTCCCCTGTAGAAGTGCGAGCTTTTCTCCACAGGGTTTAATGCCCACCGGGGTGCAGCTTGGCAAGGTAAGGAAGCAAGGCAGGCAAAGAGGAAGTCGGTCCTGTTGCAACGGGGAACGTGCAGCAGATACCGCGGCAAATAGAGGGCGCAGCTCTCAAAGGCTCAGAAACGACAGAAAAATGGACGTGGTGGTTCACCCTTTCACATGGAGCTTCAGCAACTAACCGCCCAGTAGTGCCTTTGCCCCAAGCTCCCTCGCCGGCAGGCAGGAGCTGTGGTAAGGAAACATGCTGGAAGGCAAACATGGTGTGGTGAGGAAGCATGCTGGAAGGCTCTGCACCCTTCCCTCGAGCTGCATGAATTACCTCCCTAGAGGCACACGTTTCCTCGGAAACATGCCTGGATGGGTGTTGTTTTATGGACTTGCATGTGCTGCATGTGTAATGCTTCAGGCTGGGAGCAGGGCAGGAGAAGCGACTCCTGGGTTCTGCTCCTTCCTTTCCTGGGTTCCCTGGGTACTGAGGTTCATCCAGTTTTTCCACAAGCTGGACTTCTCCACACCTTAAAATCCCTGCAGTTCTGCTTCCCCATCTTATCCTTGGGACATTGTCAGTTCTTTTTCACTGACCTTCATTTCCGTACCACGTGTGCACAGATCAAGAGCTCACCCTCCCATTCGAATATGGAAACAAAAAACAATATTCTGTTTGCTTTTGACAGCCATTCTTCTACAAAACATGGTTAAAGTCTGTCAAAAGAGGCTGAGAAAGTTGGGGCCATTCAGACTGGGGAAGGGAAGGCTGTGTGGAGACCTCATAGCAGCCTTCCAGTATCTGAAGGGGGCCTATAAGGATGTTGGGGAGGGACTCTTCATTAGGGACTGTAGTGATAGGACAAGGAGTAAAGGGTTCAAAAACAGGGGAAGTTTAGATTGGATATAAGGAAGAAGTTCTTTACTGTGAGGGTGGTGAGGCACTGGAATGGGTTGCCCAAGGAAGCTGTGAATGCTCCATCCTTGGCGATGTTCAGGGCCAGGTTGGACAAAGCCTTGAGTGTCATGGTTTAGCGTGAGATGTCCCTGCCCATGGCAGGTGGTTTGGAAGTACATGATCTTAAGGCCCTTTCCAACTCTAACCATTCTATGATTCTAAAACAAATATAATAAAAAAGTATTTTGGTTTTGTTGAAACGGATTTTAGAAAAATACTTGTAAGCCCCCCTTCTTTGTAATTATACCTGAGAGTCAAATATAATTGCCTAACTCAAAAAAAATAGGTTAAAACATAAAATCTCATTGTATTTGTTTGCAAAGGCCATGACAGTTAAATGGCAATGCCTTCTTACCACATTTCTTAATCCCCTCATTTTCAGTGAAAAAAAAAAAATAAGGAATTCTCCCAAGAGGTGGCAATTCACCTTACTCTCAAGGCAGAGGTTCAGAGGAAGACTAAATCTTGCTCACAATCCTTCTTTCCTCCAGAGAAGCCTTTTCTTCCCTTACAGTTCCTCCTCCTTTTTTTCTGAAAGGCAGACACTGGCTGTATAAGAAATAAAGCATCCACCATGTAAGTAGAGATCATAACTGACCTGTCAGAGAACCAATCCAAAAGTAACCTGCAAATAATTATGGCCATAACAACCACCAGAGATTCTCCTGCTGTAACCTACAAACTTTTTTTCCACCCACATAAAGCTTAAAACAATCACAAGGGAAAGATCCATGTATTTGCTCTTTGCTTACACAGAACTTAAATAGACAACAGAATCAAAACTGTTGCAACTCATTATCTTACCTGATGAAAAGCTCATCTGGGTGCTTTTCCATCTCAGCAGTGCAGAGCTATTTGGAACATGCAGGTGCACAGGATCTCAACGGCACCTGTCAGGTAACCAGAGGATAACACATCTGGCAGTGTATTATGTACAGTTCTTTCTTTCCTTAAATGAAAAAGCAGAAGTTACAGCCAAAATTTTTCCTCTCAAAATTTAGTGGTTGTCCTATTTTAGCTGTAATGTATTAAAAAAAACAGCAGGTGGAGATCTACTATTGCACTCCATTTATACGCTAGCTGCTTGGTGACTTTGTACTGGACCAAGACATGGCTGTACTTCGGTATTTTACAAATGCAAATATTAGTAAAAGACTATCAGAACCTTGAATAAAGGCTTGAATAAACTTTAGGAGCAGGAAGAGGGTGAAAATGCAGAAAGAGGTAAGTTCTGCCTACAAGAAACAAGGAATGAAGCTGGGAGATTGTGTGGCTACATGAGGTTCTCATTTAAAAGTCTCAGGGCGCATTCCCAGCACCAGTGGGCAGATAATTCCTTCTAGGAGCAAGTCCTGACCCACCAGAAACTTTAAGAGAAGAAGTCTATGGGTTTTCTGGGTGGTACAGCAGACGCAGGAGTTAATTACACATACACTCTGTAAATCAATAGTATTTTATTAGTTTAAGTAAGTAGAAAAATTAATGAAAAGCCCTTTCCCAACACGTTTAGTCATTAAAACTTTGATTTAGTAGAAATTTAATAGGCACTGTAACAGCATGTAACACTTGTGTTAAGGATTAATTATACTTAAAAGCAGAGATTTTCTGGTTTAAATGAAAGGCATTTAAATGGCTTCAGAATACAAAAGTAAAATTTCAGAAGAGGGCATCTTTAAACCACATAGGAAACAATCCATTTCTGTCACAAAGCAGATTGAAAGGCTGGTTTAATATCCTTCAAATCTGCCACCACCTAGGCAATCTAGGAAACATCACTCTCAGTCTTACTGGGTGTGGCAGGAAAAAAAACTAACACCGAAGCCATGGGAGGATCCTGAAATGTCCCACATGAAAAGCCAGAGGCTGAAAACATGGGTAAACTCTGAAAAGCCAGGTAGGATTTCCCCTGTGTTGAAAGCATTAGGTCCACCACTTAGGGTTTCTAGAAATTGTGCCATGTCCCAGGTAAATCTCAGTGGGCCTGGGAATCTAAAGCCTTTAGAATCCCTTGGCTTCTCAGCAGGGATGCACTAGCATCCTAAACTTACCCCATGTGTCCTGAGACCAGGAATATGATGACCAGAAAGACTCCTTTGCCAACCTCACAGTGAAGAAGCCAATAAATGGATTTAGAGTCCCAAATAAAAGGGCCTCTTCTTTCATGCTTAAAGTAAGTGATTGAAAGGAAAATTATTTGAAACTACCACTGATTTTGATGGAGACCAGCTGGCAAGTAAGTACCATGCAGCCGCTCGCTCTCATCCCTGGTGGGATGTGGAGATGAATTGGGAAAAAAATGGTAAAACTTGTAGGTTGAGGTAAGAACAGTTAAACAACTGAAAGTCATAATAGTAATACCCCTTCTAAGTAACTCCCCCCATTTCATATACTGGGCATGACAAGCTGTGGTATGGATAGTTTGGGTCAGGTGTCCTGTCTCTGCTCCCTCCTGACTTCTTGTGCCTCTCCTCAGTGGCAGAGCATGAGAGAATGAAAAGTCCTTGATCTAAGCATTACTTAGCAACAACTAAAACATCAGTGTGCTATCAGCATTGTTGCCACTCTAAAGCCAAAACACAGCACTGTACCAGCTGGGAGGAAAACTAACTCTATCCCAGCTGAAACCAGGACACATTCACATCCACACATTAAATAAATGTTTTGGGATGTTCCCTCCGGGTTCCGAAGTGCTAGCTTCATTTCCCTGTCCTGCCAATGGTACTTGCATAAGCTGTGTAGTGCCAGAGCTGCTGATATTTGTCTGCCATTTGTTGACTGGTGCAACTAGACCTTAGCCTCTGTTCCCCAGTCAGGTATTAGTAAAAATCACATTTCCTTACCTCCCAGGGAAGAGGTAATTTGTCTAAGATTGTGAATGTAACTCATCTAAGACTGTTGAGTGTTTTACCTTAGGCACAGTTAAGGCTCCAGGTCCATATTCCAGGAAGGAAACAAGGACAAGAACTGACAAAAAAAGATGACCTCACGTATCTGGTGCAAAGTGTTCATTGCCTGTGAGATCAAAATGTAACTGTCATCCTGAGCTACATAAGACATCTATGCAGCTGGTAATCATTTACTGGCTACGTCTGTCTGTAATGTTATCAGCTAAACTCTGGATGTGAAAAGTGAACCCAGGCACAAGAAAGACTCTCAGTCATCGAGTCTGAAGATGACAAGATTATTATGGTGTGGGAGACCACATTTCAAACAGCATGAGATGATACTAAAATTACACATTTTTCATTCTACCTTATGGTAAGGAGCAAGTGTTCCTGCTCCTCTGTGTGAAGTAAAAACTGTATGTCCAACATGTGGTTTTGTTTAAAGAGGAGTAATCACTAACCCACACAGATTTAAAGGCTAATACCATAAGGTGGATAGAGTTTTCTCAGCTAGGGTGCCTTCTGTAGCAACAGATCCAAAACACAATGCACAGATGAGCAACATCTGTATATAACCATGAAATAGCTATGTTAGTAACCACCAAGCCCCACAGTTTCAGCAAACCAACACAGGGCAAGTGGTACATACAAATCTGGGACAAAAATAGATAATAGCAAAGTACTAGCAGTAAGCACCTGGGCAGATAGGACCATGCCAAAATAAAACCAAGTGCTGAAAAAACCTCAACTGTCACCTGACCTCAAAGTCCCAAAGGTGATGAGACATCTAAGTCTACAGGGAACCAACAGGACACTTTCCAATGCAACCAGAAGTGCAGAGGGCAGAAGGAAATTCTCCATCAGTGCAAACCAGAAAAGGGAAAGTGGTTTGCAGACCATCATTCTTCACAGTCTGTGAGACCTGGAGAGCCACATATCAATACCATTGATGGCCATGAACCTGTAATAGATCATACTCTGGGACTCATAGCAGACCACCTCAGACTGGTACATATGACATGGTATGAACTGCTGAAAGGAAAGACAGAGGAATCTGCACAGCATTTCAAAGGAGAAAGAAAGGAAGAACTTGGGGAGCTTCAAGAAGCCAGTGTCTGTGACCCAGTCCTTCTGTAAGAGTTTATCTTAATAAACAAGAGAGTTTGGTTTGGAAACTAGAAGGCTGCATATTATTTGTCAACATATTGGAGGGC